TTTCTCCAACTCTCATTTCTTCTGTCGCCCTAAGCAAAACATGTCATGAGCTGATGCAGTCCTAGACGTGAGTCACTGTTAGTCATTTCAGAGCCTAGCAGATTCCAAGGGAAGGCTCTTGGTCTGATTTCTTGGTTGTGTCAGAAGCTATACGGCCTCCGTTTACCTGGCCCAGCAGCTCCCAATCTGTGGCCACTTACGTTTGGATTCTGGAGTTGATTTGGTGGGAGAACACCACCAGAACGCTTAATCTTCAGTAAATGCCCGTGGTTGTACTAGTGCTTGTGCTGCCTTTGCAAAAGGAAATCTTAAAACACTATATATTTCTGTGACTTTTAACATATAGATAGATTTTTGTAATCATTCCTCTGCTAGGATACAGAATAGTTCCATTACCCGAAACAATCATCTTGTGTTTTTCCTTTAAAATAACACCCTCTACTTCCCTACGCCTAATTGTAACCCCTTGAAAATGCAGATGTTTTCCCATTCTATAGTTATAGGGATTTTTTTAAAAACCATATAAATGAGATTTTACAGTTATGTAATCTTTTCCTTTTTTTTTTTTTTTTTGGTTTTTCTCTGGTACCGGGAACCGAACTCACGACCTTGTGCTTGCCAGGCAGGCACTTTGCCGCTGAACTAAATCCCCAGCCCCCAGTTATGTAATCTTTTGAATTTAATTTCATACACTGAAGATAATGCATTTGAAATTCACCTAAGTTGTGTGTCTCAATAGTTTGCTCCTTTTCATTGTTCTTTAATCATTTTTTTATTGTTCCATTCCACTGTGTAGAGGTATCCACAGTTTTAGTTAGTCAGAGAGGAACATTTGGATTAGTTCCAAGTTTTCATGCCTGTCAGTGGAGCTGCTATAAACATTTGTGTACAGGTTGTTGATAAACATAAGCTTACATTTTCCTAGGGCAAATATCCAGGAGTGGGATGGCTGCCTGGCTTCTATCGTAAGTGGATGTTTAACTTGATAAGAGTCTGCCCAGCTGCTTTACAGAAGGCCTATATCAGTCTTTCCCTGAGAATGCCAAGTACCCTGCCTCCTCACCAACACTTGGTATTGTTAGTATTTTTATTTTAGTCATTCTTCACGGATGATAGCAGTATGAAATGTAGCAACCACTTTTAATTCCTATCATTTTGTTTTGAGGTTGTTTTTGATTTTTTTTGTCTTCATTGTTGTTGTTTTGTTAGTTTTATTCTTTTTAAAATAAAAAAAGTTTAGAAATTAGCCATTCTGAAAAGTGAGTAGTGTCACCTTATCATAGTTCTAATGTGAGGTTTCATAGCAGTTGATTGTATCTTCATTGCCTCTGTTCATTTAAGCTATTTTTTAAAAATTGAGTTGCCTATTTTTGTACTGTTTGGGGAATTCTTTGTGTCTTCTTGAATACAAGTCCTTTGTCAAATACGTGATTTGCAAATCTTTTCTTCCAATCCTTTGCTTGACTGTTAATCCTCTTAAAAGTAGCTTGATTTCAGCAAAGTTTTAAAAATTTTAATAAAAACCAATTTATCAATATTTTTTCCTTCATGGGGAGTGTTCTTGGTGTCATGTTCAAAATCTCTTTGCTTGTCTTCAGGCCATTCAGACTTTTTCCTAGTTTTCTCCTGGAAGTTTTATAGATTTTCATTTTATTTGTACCTGTCTTCTATTTTAAGTAGTTTCTGGATGACATGAGAGATGAGGTTTAGGTTAGAGTTAATTCATTTCCTTGTTTTGCTTATGAATGTCTTATTGTTCCAAGATGATTTTTTGTTAGAAAGACTACCGTTTTCTAACCTTTAGATTGCTTTTTAATAGTGATACTGGGGGTGGAACCCAGTATGCTAGGCAAGGCCTACCATTAAACTATGTCCTTTTTCATTTTATTTTGAGTAGGGTCTCACTGAGTTGCTCTAGCTAGTTTCAAATTTGTGATCCTCCTGCCTCAGCCTCCTGAGTATCTGGGATTACAGGTATGTGCCAGCTCATCTGGCTGCTTTTGTACTATTGTCAAAACACTTTGTATTGTGTGGGTCTAATTCTGGATTCTCCATCGTTTCTCTCACCAATGTGTCTGTTCTTTCACAAACACCTTGCCCTCTTAATTATTATAGTCTTGTAGTAAGGCTTAAAATTCCATAGCATAATTCTTACCTTTCTTATTTGTCAAAATTATATTAGTTCTTTTGCCACACAAATTTTAATGTTAGTTGTCCACATGTCAAAACAATTCCAGCTGGAATTTTTTTTATTAGAATTGAGTTAAACCTAGGGATCGATTTGGGACAATTGTCATCTTAACTATATTGAATTGCCCAGTCTGTGAATACAATACTTCCCTCTGTTTATTTAGGCTTTCTCTACTTTATTTTATCAGCACTTTGTTGTTTCCAGTTTAGGAATCTTGTCAATGTTTTGTAAGGTGTATTCTTAAGTATTTCACTTTTTGGAGTTATTGCAAATGACATTTAAAAAGTTGGTTTTAATTTTACATTGCTAATATATACAAATAGGATTAGTATTTGAGTACTGACTTTGATTCTGTGAAAATTGCTGAACTTATCTTTAGGAGTTTTCATATATTTCCTGACTTTTTAGATTCTTAGGCTCTGTATTTCAACTTTGAGTAGGGGACGTTTTATTTCTTCCTTTACAATTTATATGGCTTTTATTTCTTTTTCTTACAGTAATGAACAGGTTAAACCATCCAATAAATGTAGAATAGGAATAGTAAAGAGTGAAAATTCTTGCCTTTTTCAGTCTAAGTAGGGAAGGAATCAGTCCCTCACCATTAAGTGTGATTTTGACTGTAGGTTTGGTAAAGATCCTGTTAGAAGGCTGAGGAAATCTCTCTTTTCTGTATTTGTTGATTTTTAAAAAAATCATGAATAGATGTTAAATTCTGTCAATTGCTTTTCTACATCAATTTGCATGATCATTTTTAACCTTTTTGGATAATTAATACAGTAGATAGTGTTGATTTTCCAGTACTGAGCCAGCCTTGCATTGCCAGGGCAATACTCTCTGGGGCATGGTGCATTATCCTTTTTACATAGCTCTGAATTCATTTTTGCTAACATTTGTTGAAAAATTGTGCCTTTTTCTCCTTGAGGGTTATTAGTCCATATCCTTCTTTTGTATTCTTTTAAATTGGTTTTATTATCAGAGTAATGCTGACCTCATAAAACGTATTGGGAAATATTCCCTCTATTTTATAAAGCAACTGGAAATAGAATTTGGTAGAATTAACTAGTGGAATCCAGGCTTGGAAATTTCTCTGTGTTGAAGACTTTTAAAAATTAAACTAATTGAATTTCTTTTATAGTTACAAGACTATTTAACCTATTTATTTCATCTTGAGTGAGCTTTAGTACTTCACAGTTTTGAGGGATTGGTTTCTTTTATATAAGTCATTAGATTTATGTACATAGAATTATTCCAATGTGTTTATTTTCTCCTCAGTATTGGGGATTGAACCAGGATCTTCAGTCTGAGCTATCTCTCAAGCCTCTTTGCATTTTTTATTTAGTAATACAGTCTCGCTAAGTCATTAAGTGGCCAAGCTGGCCTTGGACTTGTAACCCTGCCTCAGCCTCTGAGAGTGCTGGGATTACAGGCGTGCACCACTATGCTTCACACCTGCCTCATTTTCTTTTTAATGGCCATAGGGACATTAGTGATACCTCTTCTTTTTCCCTGTTATTGTTGATTTATGCCCCCCCCCGTTACTTTTGGAAGAAGTTGGTTGATATTATTGTAAGTGATCTTGTGTTCATTTATTTTCCTTATCAGTTTTCTATTTTCACTTCCTGTGATACACTGCGATTTTTGTCCTCATTTGGCTTTGCTTTCTAATTTCTTAAGGTAGAGGCTTGAATTTGTTTGTGATCTTTTTCCTTTTCTTTCTTGATGTTTTTGCTTTCTTAATAGAGAATTTGTGCTGTATGTCTCTTTCTAAGCACTGCTCTAGGTATGTCACACACACTTTGTTATACTGTATTTTCATTTTTGTTCAGCTCAAAGTATGTTCCCACTTTCAAAAGAAGATAGATATTTTTGATGTTTAATTTATAAAAAATAATCAATTTCTTAGTGTGTAGACATTTACTTGACATATTTCTATAATTAATTTCTAGCTTAATTCCATTATGATCTGAACACATACTTTATTTTATTTAAGACTGTTCAGTTTTGTTTTGTAACTCAAAGTATTTCCCATCTTGGTGAATGTTCTATGTAACTTGACTAAAAATGCTTCTCTGATGTGGTTGTGTAGACAGTTAGATCACAGTTAGCTTTTGGTTCAATATTCTTGAGGATCTTCTGTCTCACAGCTCTGTCTACTAACAGAATTCTGCAAGTGTCAGTAAGAGTTGATCTGCTTCTCATTTCAGTTTTGACACTGTTCAACTCTTTCATCTTCTGGGTGATTTAGCCATTTCTTATTATTCCATGTCTCTCTGGATGTATACTTCAACTTGAATTTTTCATCTTATATGGAATTTCAGAAAAATAGGGCTACAGCTTCATGGGTGTTTCTTGCAGACCTAGCTGCAGTTATCCTTTTTCTATAACACTCACACTAAATGTCTTACCTTATCATGCTAATTGACCAATATCACTTCTTTGGTCACATCTTTAATATAGAAAAGTTAGAAGAGCTTGTCTCAGAGAAACCATAGTTCAGTGAGTTCTGGCCCCTTCTAGAACACAGGGCTTTCTGCTTTGTCTCTTCAACTCTTTGGTGTGAATGATCTGTTTTGAAAGGGTCAGTTTCTTGTGCTTGCTTCGGCAGCACATATGCTAACATTGAGAGGCTTAGTTTCAGTTTATGGATTCTGGATGGATGAAGACTCCTCTTCTGAGGTTTTCTTCCATCTCTGCCTCTGACGAGACAGGCTCAGCTCCTGGGAGATCGAGGGAGCCTGCCAGTGCATAGGAGGCTGTAGAAGATGAACAGGCTATGAGGAGATTGTGGCAGTGAGAGATGCCCAATCTTTAAAGATATCTTTCTCCTGGGCAGCCCGAAGTTCTGGTCACTTGGGCCACTGCGCTTCTGATAGACTCACAGACTGATGAGAGCTGGCAAAGAGAATAGTCTCCAGCCTGTTCCACTTAAATCAACGCTCAACAGTGGAAATGACACAGTGCCCGCTGTGTCTGAATCAAACTTGCCTTCCGCCAATCTGCCTCGGATGCAGGAAATGATCATTCCGGAGAGCAATGTGGAAAAGCAAGATGTTAGCAAGGTAGGGGAAAGGGCAAAAGTCCCTGAAAGTATTTCTCTTGCTTTTTCATATATGTGCCAAGTTAATTATGCTTCAACTAAAATAATAGATATTCACCAAATTGACCACCACCCTAAAATCCATTCTCAGCATTAAGCGACCATAGATTAACTGCTTAAGTTTGAGCTTTAGTTTATGGCATCAGCAGAGCCCCTAATGAATTATGGACTTGTGTTCACTCCAGAACAATCTATTACCCACCACATAACAGAAAATGCCATTTATTGCAATTTGTACAAACTATAAATCAATACATTATTACTTGGAAGCATGAAAGCTGTGGCTATGCTGCACACTCTTGCATTTGGTAATGGCATATGTGTGTGTACGTGTGCGTGTGTGTGCTTTTTAGGGCTTTGGGGGAGTCAGAGGAATAGACATAGATTTTTTTTTTTCTAGTATCCATTTGCGCACTTGCAGAACTTTTCAAGAGACTTGAAAGTGGCTGCTGTCTCTCGTGCTTACCAGTCTCAAATGATCAACTTTGCACATGATTTGAGCTTGGAGAAACTGATCGAGCACAATTTAGAGGGTGTTCGAACCCTTTTGCAGAGGTCCTGACCCTGGAACCCCAAGAGGTAGGGCAGATTTTTGGAAAGGGTGGATGCTCATGCAGACCTCAAGCCACTCCCATCCAAACTTCGGTGTGACACAAAGACACCAGGATTTAAAGAAAGCCATCTAGATCGTTTTAACGTGCAGCCTGGGTTAATTATCTCTGCTCTACAAAATAAGAAGAGGAAGAAAACAGGAAATGTAAAGGGAGGACAGTTGTGGGTTGCAATTTTCTCAAATCAAAGTGGAAATGCATCCTGAGAATTTCAGATTAAAGGAATCCATGGGGTGCTGCTTGGGGTACTTCTGTGCGCACTCTGAGGAATATAAAAAAGATACATTTGAATGTGGCCAACATAACGTGAATGCTTAATAAACCCTCGTTTTCCTCTCGTAAAAATGCAGATAAGTAATAGTAAGGGAATGTGGCCGCTAAGCACAGCCCAGCCTTTCCTGGGATCCTTCTTGCCATAGGTCCTGGCCCTTTTCCATCACGGTAAGCTAGGGAAGTGTGCATGATCAACACGCTGGAGCTAACAGCCCAGGATGGCCTGCCGTGAGACGCTCAGTATCTGGTGGGGACCCAGCGTAGCTTCTTGGTCCTGGGATGCTGGAAAGGGCACGAGTGTTCCCAGGCCTTTCTTGACTAGTGTGTCGCTCTCAAGGTGGTTTTCACTGTCCACACAGCACCAAGGTGACGTGAAGCTAACACCATGGCTGTCAGCACCATAAGGTAATAAAAAAAGCTGCAACTTGTCGAGTGAATATTATGTCTGCTTTGTCACACCATATGTCAGATCCTTTTATTATCCTTTCCATTTTGTAAGGTAGTCATATTTATCTCCATTTCCATTTCAGACAGGGAACCTGAGGAACAAGGACATAAGTGATTTGCTACACCCACACCTGTAACCAGGACTTTGCCACCTCACGGCCTCTCAGGGTCTCTATGCATTCTTCATGTCTACTCCTTCATCCTGAATTTGCCCCCGGGGAAGAACCCTACTCTAGCTTTTAAATACATGGCTCCCTCTTCTTTTCCATTCATGATTCGGAACTTGTCTCCTCTGTGACATTTCCTGGCTGCCATATTGGTTTTCCTCTACCCTGGACCCTGGAATCCTGTGGCATGTACTTTACTGCACTGACATTTTCTGGAGCATGCGGTAAGTACACTGCAGGGTGTGTGGTGCGTGTGTGTGATTATTTGTGTATGTTTATTTTCCTATAAAGCCTATAAGTACTTTGACAGGAAGTCTGTGTCTTATGGATCTATCTATTTCTCTGTGGACACCTTAGTCTTAAAAAAAGTTTTAATGGATACTGCTAATTAATTGATTTTCAGTTTTCAACAATTTTTTCTCCTTGAAGAATGGTACAAAACAGGGTAGCAATGTACTGAAGCAGAAAAGGTGACAATCGAAGGTAAGACATACCTCAGTTCGAATTCTGTCAGTGCCATTTACAAGCTGTGTTTCAATGAACAAGTCATATAGTACTCAAAGCCTATTTTTGCTTAACTTGCAAAGTGGGTGCAATGGTGTTGCCTTGCTAAATAATCATGAAGATCAATGCATAAAATAGCAATGTCTAAAACTTGCCCTTAGGAAACGATAGCTCTTTAGTAATTATTGTCATGTATAATAATTGGTTTCCATTTGAATTTTTTCTAATATAAAACTTTTGCAAGGAAAAGACCAGGGTAGGTTCTGTGAGAGTGAGTTTCCTTTGTACACTTATATTTTGTTTCAATAGGAAAGAGTGGGGAAGCCTGCAGGGGACAGGTGGCGAAGCTGGGCATCGATAGGCTTAGGGTAGAGTCTGTGGAGCATGTAGTTAGGTGGGGTCCACTCAGGCCCAGAACCCCACCCTGGATGGCCAGTGGGAAGGGCACTGAATAGGGAGTGAAAGTGGCTAGCTTTACTGCCTACTACTCTTGGTGTGAGACGATGAACACACACCAGGTGGGTCCGGCCAGTCCAGGGACTGCTTTCCTTTCAGCTACCTGGAGGAGATGTGGTCCTTCATTCTCAAAGATTACCGGACAGATTTGCTGAGGAGGAATGAGGTCTTTCTCCCTATGGACAACAAGGGCACAAGGTTTACTAGAGCTTTACAATAGCGGAAACAAACAACAATGACACAAGGTTTACCTGAGCTTTATTTAAAAGCTAGAGGAGGGTTCTTCCCCGGGGGCAAAGAATAGAATGAATCCCCTCCACTTCATGCTTTTCTCCGCTATCAACTATAATCGGAGGGACTGTGTCACTTATTGCCCAAAGAGAGTGAGAAGGAGTCCTACTGACAGTGAGCAGGTGCACAGTGCGCTTCCTGGCTTAAACAGGGTGCAAAGCTGCAGCGTTTCTAGCACTCTGTTCTCCTTCCTTATTTACCTGTGACTTGTCCATCCACATCCTCACTTGGTTGTTCTCTCCCCAATGCATGGCCATGTCCTACTCATCGCCAATTCCTCGGCATTTGCAACAGGATCCAGGACACAGGCCAGGTACAGCAGACGTTTGGTGAAGAAAGGAATTCAAAATAACTCATGAGAGACCCACTGGGTGACTCTGAGCATGTCACTTGAAGCTTTGTGACTCTGGAGCACACTCAGTGGACTGCTCATCTCCAAGGTCCTCCCAACTGGGGAGCCCTCAACTCCTCCCACTTTGGCCAGTTTCTGCTGAAGCTGCTGTGGACTGTAGTGTGCCCTAGGGGTGTTTAGGAAGCCCTAGCTGGAGCGGATGCTGAGGAGATGCCCGGTGCCTGCCCCTGCTGCATCCTTTGGGAGGACCTGTGCACACCTCTGAAGTTTGAAAGCCAGAAAGGAGAATGAAATGAAGAAAATCTTATTTATGTTTTGCTAAAGTACAGGAGTTACCAAAAAAATTAGGCATGGAGCAGAATCTGAGCAGAGTAGGGATCACAGAATAACATGGAGAACAGGATAGGAAACACCCAAGCTAGCTCTTAGGGAAGAGTTTGAGCCCAAGCCCTAAGGAATTGCTCCTCATGAACAGAAAGCAGCATTTTGTCAGCGACAGCCCTTCTGCGGAACCATAACTGCAGTCATATTGAATCATGAACTAGATTAGCCACATTAAAGGGTTAGCTACAATATATTTCAAAGTTAAAACACAGGCTGTGGCCGTGGTATCAAAACCTGCAATTTCTGATGTAAATGAATGGAATGAAAAATGGCCCCTGGCTACTGGGACAGACAGAGGAATATGTGAGTGAAATAACATGGCAGTTATGTCAAAATTGGAAGAATAACTATATTCCAGAATAGTAAATTATTACCACTGCCTGACTAGTAGAGTAACCCATAAGGCAAGAGATTGTGTTTTTTAGTTTTTTTTTCATACCTGGATAAAATTACATTGTCAATTTTGTTTAGTCCCTCTTTAAAACCTGAACATTCAGTTTTGAAAATATGTGTGGAACATAAGGTGACATTTGGAAAAAAAGCATAATTTTCAAAGAATACTGATTCCATTAGTTCTTATATTACAGATGCCAATGAATTTAACTTTTATAGTTCTGCTAACACATGGAAGGCATAAAATGGACGTTCAGCTACCCCAGGTTTTCAACAGCATCTCAGGGAAGTGCATGAGCTTTATAAAGTGTTTTGTGGGGACATACTGTGGCGTAAGGTTTCATGGGCAGAAGCCTTGTAGGCAGAGGGAACCAGAGTCGGTAGTTCAAGTCCTGGGCCATTTCTTACTGGCAGATAACTGTAGGTAAGCTCCATGGTTGTACTGAGCCTCACTTTTCTTAGTTTTAGCATGAGGATAAGGGCAGCTGCTTTCAGGGTTAATAAAGAATAAAAGCGATACACTGGGTATGACGTTCAGCTACACCCTCTTATAGACTGACACTCTGTAAAGGACCATTGATATTATTATTATTTAATTCTTCTTAATTATGATCCACATCTATGAAATCATAGTTTTAGGATTGATGCAGAGGTTAGAACAAATATAGTGAGCTCAGTACTTTTGTGTATTTAATATGTGCACGTGTCTGAGTTGATTCTGTAGATGGTATGTGTACAGTGAGTTAGCTAATCCTAAAGGCAGCACTTCTTAAAAATTTTAACCAACTAATTTGATGAAAAATGTGGGTATATTTCATTTCAATGTATAAAAATATCATTTTCTAAAATAAGTTATCAAAATATAAAATACATGAAAGAAATATAGCTTTAAACACTTGTGCTGTTCATTAGCTTTAACGTTGACTTCTCTCTTTCTTTCTTTGCTTCTTCTTTCTTTCCTCTGTCTCTGTCTCCGTCTCTCCCTCTTTTTTGTCCCAGGATCTTATGCATACTAAACGTCTGTTCTACCACTGAGCCACACTCCCAGCCCTAGGTTAGCTATAATTAGTCATATACACACAGACATGCCATAAATATGTTTATTAATTTGCATATCTATTCCAGAAAGCCGCAAACTCAAAGTGTGCAATAATGTGGTTAAGAGCAGAGCTTTGGAGTTAAACAAACTTGGGCTTGATTCTTGGCTTTTCTTTTTGCTAGCTATGTGATCTTAGTCTAAGCTTGGACATGCTTCAATTTCTTTATCTAGGAAACAGAAGAATAATCTGCTACAAAATTGTAAGCAGTAAGCAAGATAGTGCCTGTAGATGCTTGGTGGTGTGGTATCTGTCACCTGGTACAGTTAGGTAAATCCTCAAATCCTAATTTGTTCAGAGAACAGAGATATTTACAGGGTTATTTCTTATGTGGAAGCCATATAAATATCCTAACAAGGTGGTTGTAGGAATGGATACAGTTTCAGTGTAGACCATGGGATATTTTCCTTTGCATGACTCAATGGGATCATTTACTTGATGTTCCAATATATTTCTTGGTTCCTTATAGACATGGCAACAAGAAAAGCCAAACTGAACATGGTAAGTGATTAAACTCTATTTAGAAGAAGTGAGACTAGCTAGTGCTTTACAATTTTATTTATTTATTTTTTTAAAGAAAACTCACTGTTTGGGCATCCAATACGTATGTGTGGTTATGGGTTATTGTTATAAACAATGTTAGCTTGGTTCGGTACGTTATGATGTTTCTGGGATTTTTCACAACTCTTATCCCAGGAGGAAAGTGTGGGTATGATAAAGAAGTGAGACTGGTATTGGTAAATGTGAGGAAAACTAATAAAAAATGTTATGGTCTGAGTGAATGTTTTATAGACCAATATACGTATATAGATATGGTTTCCCGTCCAAGGATTTGAAAGTAGCATACTTTGCCATTCAGTAATGCTGGCTGCGGGTCTTTTATTTCTTTTGTCAAAAACTCTCAAATTCAACAATTTGCACTGGGCTTGCCCCATGGTGCGCAGAGTGCAGTGCCGTAATTCAAGTCATATCCAGTTGACTCTGTGGTTTCAGGGAGCCCATACATTTCAAATTTATTTCCAAGGTCACGAAGCCATCCCCTATGGCAAGTGTAAAGTGCTTTGATGTGGTGGGCATAGCATCTGTGCAGACAGACACGCTTAATCCATGCAGCACTTTGATTTCACATTTTGGTTGAGAGGTAAGTTCTTTTGAACCCACGTACATTCAATGTTGTCATATTACATGATTGGGAAAATGGGTCTTGGCAGTGGGTGGATGGCACCCTAGCTATGAGGTCCACCCTGGAACAACTGATGAAGAGAAATAAGAACTCCTGTGCTGTTGCCTTTTCTATCACCTCCGTTTACATGCCTGAGGTAGCTCAGAATTTGTTCACTGACCTGCCTAGCTTCCGAATCTGCCACTCCTCCTGCTTTCCCCAATCTGCCACTCCTCCTGCTTTCCCCAGCCACTGATTGACACCAGTATCCTCCCACCACACACACAGGAGACCATGTCAAAGCCCTTAGTGTCAGTCTTCATTCATTTCCCACCTTTCAACTGGTCACCAGGACTGGTTAATCTTTTCTTTTTTTTTTTTTCCCGGTACCAGGAATTGAACTCATGACCTCACGCTTGCCAGGCAGGCGCTGTGCCACTGAGCTAAATCCCCAGCCCCTGGACTGGTTAATCTTGAAGGTGCTCAATTTTGCACTCTTCCCTTGCTCAGATAGTCCTATAGTCTCCCAGGTTTGCTTCAGGCTTCCAGGCTTATTTCAGTCCAGTCCTTCTCTATCCT